CCACATGGAAGATCCCGGCACCAAGGGAGCCAGCAGGCCTTTGGATTTTATTCCTTGGGCAGATAATTCAAGTCTCCTTCTGTTGAGTCCGGGGATGGCTGGCTGCAGGGGATCCGAGGCCTTCCAGATGCCCGCCAGGGACATGCGCGGGAGTGTGGCATACTCTGGGGGAGCTGCATCCTAGCCCCTGGCCAGGACCCACCTTTTCTCTATCAATCCACCATTGAGCCAGTGAGAAAAGAATCTGTGTCCCACCACAAGGAATACCTGGATTTAAAATAGGGACTCTTCCCGGAGTGGGGGGCGGGGAAGAGGGTGATCAAGTGTTTAAAGATGAATGCCCTCTCCTTAGCTGCTCTGAACCCTCAAATCCATCCCCTGAGCTCTTCGTGCTGGGGTTTGGGTGACATCTAAGCAGTGGTTTCCATTTAACTGGCATTCAGGTCTTTATCCCACCACCACCTCTCCTATAGAAGTGAGGAGGGGGCTGGGCTCACAGGTGACAGGTTTTCTTTCCCAGGCAGAGGAACCGAGTAAGAATGTGAAGCAAGGCTGTTGTTTGCCAATGGCTGGAATCAAGCACTGCTCTGCTCCCTAAGAATTAGGCAGGCTGAGCAAGAAGACATTTCAACTCCTACTCCTTGGATTTTGACTTTGATTTTTCTCACTTCTCTACCAAATAGGTATGTGGTTAGGAGCAATGAGCTGAAATCTGTCCCAAGCGCTGAGTCCTCTGGAAGACAGATGGACACGTTTAAAGTGCTGATAGGTACCACAGCAGTTCACCACACTCTTCTTGCAGGACTAGTGCAAACTGCTTGTGAGTAGAACACAATTCATGGATTGGAGATGAACTAAAATGTAACGACAAAAAGGGAATGGCAGTTTGATTGGGAGGAGATGTCTATTGGGTCAAGGCTAGACTGAGAGTTACAGTGTTATTTAACATGATTATAGTAACAGGAAATATCTACAAATACCATTTGGATGGTGATAAAAGTACAAAAGGACCCATAGATGTGATAAATGGGTCAGGTTACTAAAATGAGATTGAATTAGAAAATAAATTTTAAAGTGGAATTCACCAAACTGGCTTTTCCATGGAGAACCAGAAGAGACAGTCCCCTAAAAGCCAGGTTCCTGGAGACATGTTCTGTCCAGCCATTCTCCATGGGTAGCCGTCTAGTGTGCGAGACGTGGTTAGTCTGAACTGAGATGTAGTGTGCTACACGTGTAACACACACCCCAGATTTTGAAGGCTTATTGAGAATAATAAGAATATAAACTATCACGTTAATAATTTAAAAATATTGATTGCATGTTGAAATAATGGTATTTGGGATATATTGGGTTCAATAAAATGTTATTAAAATTAATTTCTTTTTACTTTCTTAATATGGCTACTGGAAAAAATCTAAAATTGCATATGTGGCTCCCATTACATTTTTCTTGGACCATGCATCATTAGACCCTAAACCCAAGCCAAGCTGGCACCAGGGAGGGGTGTCTATCTCTGACTGGTGGTCTTTCTCTTTTTCTCTGATTCATAATAGGGTTTGAGGAGGCTTTTCCTTCTTACTGTATCTTTTGAAAAACACATAGGAAAGGATTACAGGGGAGATGGAGGTGGGAGATTATTAAGTGCACACAGGGAGTGATCCTAAACTCTCTTGGATCCCCTCTTGGATTTCACGATAGGAGAAGGAGAGAATAAATGAATTAATGAATGAGAGTTTGGGGAGGAATAAATGTATTGATTCCCCACCCTTTATTACTCCACCTTCTAAGCCTGAGCATATAGAGTCTGATCTATAATCTAGAGAATTACCCTGAACAAATATGAGAAATTCTGAGTCATGGAGCTTTGAGATACATGATCTTCATGAGTAGACAGGGTTTTCCTGTGCAATTTTATTTCACCACTCGTTCCTTCTCACCTGCGAGCCCTAGGAGATGCATCATCACACATTCAGGTTCATACAGATGCCATCAGTGCTGAGCTGGACAGGCAGGGTGGCTATGCGTGCTGCATACACATGGCAGCATTCTGGTGGGCACACTGTACCCACAAAGAGGAGGGACTCAGTAGGATGGCTGTGGCTGCCAGCTGTGGGGTGTGAGTTTTGTTCCATCTTCTGGTTCTTCCCAGTCCTGCTTCATGGCTGTAACTAGTAAACTTCTACATCCACTCCAAGGTACACCTGCCAAGAGGCCCAGAGGAGTTTAATGTGTGCAAGAGCCTGGACTTTCAGGAAAGCAGAATTAGGTACTTTGATGTTTGATGGAATTTTTTTTTTTTTTGCAGAAGGTAGAGTCTAGGACAAAACTATCCAATAGAACTTTCTGTGATGATAGAAATGTTTTGTATTTGTGTCATTCAATATGGCAGCCACTAGTCACATGTGGCTATTGAGCCTTTGAAATGGGGCTACTGTGACTAAGGAACTGAATTTTAAATTTCATTTCATTTTAATTAAATGTAAGTAATGACATGACTAGTATATTAGACATCACAATTCTAGTAATTCCCTTGCATATGGAGAAAACACAGAAGAAGAGGTATGTTTGTTTACAAGCCATTGGATGGGTCTACAGATGCTGTGCATTTATAAGGGCTACCACCAGGAATAAACGTGGAAGTCCTCTTCTATTCACCTTTTTTTTTTTTTTTTAAAGATTTTTTATTTATTTATTTATTTGAGAGAGAGAGAATGAGAGAGAGCATGAGAGGGAAGAGGGTCAGAGGGAGAAGCAGACTCCCTGCTGAGCAGGGAGCCCGATGTGGGACTCGATCTTCTATTCTCCTGTGTCCTTCCTTTTTTTTTTTCTTTTTCCTGTGTTCTTCCTTTGATCAAAACAAAGCATGAAGCCAAAAGCAGGCTGTGAATTTGTTTCAGACTCTTCCCAAAAGGTATCTAAGGTAGTTAAGGGATCCAGTTCATGTAAACAAGGTCATAGTTGTCAAAAGGTTTGCAACTTGTAGGTGTTATGCAAGAGGATTTGCCCTGGACTACAGTCATTCTGACTCCATGTGAAGAATACTTCCTCTGGTGCTAAAAGTCTAATTGATTTTGCAGAGATCAAAAGAGAAGTAGCTAGGTTGTGTTGTGGACGGAGAAGATACTTGGTTAAGTGCTAAGTGCTGCTATTTATTTTTATGACATCGGATAAGTCACTTAACCTCCTGATCCTCATTATAAATGTTTCCTCATTTGTAAAATGGTTATAATAATATCTACTTCTTAAGGTTCTTGGGAAGATGAAGAAAATGTGGTTGAGTCTTTGTAAGCTCTAAAATGCAGAATTAATGTTCTCATTATTGTGCCTGGCGCTGCTGCTGATGCCACAGAAGTTCCCGAGGGGGCATCAAACCTTGTTGGGAGTAACCCAGGCATCTGGAATTACCAAACTCTTAAACACTGGGATGGAAGGAATGCTAAGAATTGCAGATGTATCCTTGGGGTCTGCAAGTTCTCTGTATTTTAAAATTTTGTTTTAAGTGAGATAAATTTTTAAGCAGTCAAACATATCCTGGATATTGATGACTTTTTTAAACAGGGTATTGTTGTTGCCCTCAGTCTTCATATTTGTGTTTACAATTAAGCTGATCTGAAGACATGGAAGTTTAACTCATAGATGATTCATTTGCTCCAGGAGGGTGGAATAGAAGATTTTGTAGTAGTTGAAATAGTAGGAAAGTGGTAGCAGAGGAGAGTTGTCTTCACTTTGCACACTATGGGGATGGTGTCCTCAGAACGACATAGGCCAAAGCAGGCAGTCCACCTTACTTTATGAGCAGCAAAGCATCACCCGACATACAAAATTGTTATTTTAAATTATTAAAATAAATAATCCATCAAGATGCTGTTCGGGTTCACAAAAATCAAACACAGGCAAACAGTGCATCGTGAAATGTTTGCTTTTTCTTTATTTTCTTCTACTTCCTAGAGTATCAGGAGAACTTACGGGTTCAGTAACTGAGTTGCAAGAAGTCAATATTTAAATTCATAGAGGTCACCTTTCAGCCCAGAGTTCTCCTTAAGACTCTCCCCATCCCAAGCCCCTGCCTAGGCATCTGTGCTCCTCACCCTGGTGGGAATGTCCATCCACACTCACCTCCTCCAACCCAAGGCCCGCAAGTCCTTGGGAGTCCCCAAACTCAACTGCTTATTCCTTGGACCCTTCTCTGACGTACCCTGCCTGTATATCTTTCTGTTAGTTTATGAACTTCCGTGGCACTGACAGTCTGAATGGAACAACCTAGCTCTTGATCTTATAGGAATCTTTATTCTTAGTTGTTAGATTTCAAGGCTTACCGGGGTTAAAGTAGTTTTCTTCATTCCCTTCACAAACTGCACAATGTTGAGTGAAATATAGGTGCTCACTGAAGACTTGGTGAATTTACTTCAGTCTGGTTAACTGCCCTAGGGACAAACAAGATGTATGCTTTCTCCATCACACCAGTAATTTCTGTGAGGATCATGAGATTAGAGCGCTCTTATGGGTAGGGCTGCATATAGGAAAGGGACTATGGAGGAGATAGGAGCCTCTTGGGGGTCCCCAAAGTCATCAAATGGGGACATATTTTGAGCTGCGAGCTTTCCTTGGATACAAGGGTAGAAGGGCGTAGTGTCACACGGTTCTTTCCACAGGAGGCAAATAGATACTGATTTGCATGTGGGTAGGAAAAAAAAAGTGAATCAATTTAGACAGCAGTAAATGAACCACATGATCACATGTGAGTTTTGGACAGGAGGAGGAAAATGCCCAAATTTGCCTTACGTATCCCTAAAGTGATTTCAGTATCAGCAATTCTGGGATTCTTATGTCTTGTATCAAGAGAACTGATGTGTTGAGAATTTCTCTGGCCTTCTGGGTATAATCTTCAATTTGGATAATCTCCACCTAGACCTTGATCACAGGGTATGAGAGAATGTGAAGGACCATCTGAAACAGAAACCCTGCCACAATATAAAGAAGACGCAATGGGAAACCCAGAGAAGAGTTTTTTTTTTTTTTAATTATTCCTTCATATTCAAACTTCACAAACAGTGTGAACTTGTACAATACCTCAGAAAGTGAAACTTACAAAAAAAGTGCTGGTAACATTTAAAAAAAAACAACAAAAACCCCAAAAAACAAACATCATTCTTAGCAACATCAATTACTCTTCCACACAAAACAGAAACCTTGTAAAATTTATTTTCGTATTTTTAAGGCGTAATACTTCCGTATAAAGTATATGCAAGAGATAAAACTTCACAGTATTCCAAAATGTCACAATAATAATAATAATATAATAGTATAATGAAGCGCTACAGTTAATTTTTCTTTTTTTGAATGTTTTTTTTCCTGTTTAAATAACAAATACAAGTCACAGGTAAATATACGTGAGAAAAATACGAGGCTAATATTAAATGGCAGGTAAGGATACTGTCACTGTAAGAAAAAACTGGCAGGATGTGTGTATTTAGTCTATATTTTAAAGCACTTGATAGAAAAGGCGTATGCAAGGTTTTTCAAAACAATTTTTTGTTTGTTTGATAACTGACAACAATTTAAGAGTATAATGAGGAAAAAAAAAAGGAACAAACTCCCTCTCAAAACTATTGACCTGCTCATCCCAAACCACGCATATGCTGATGGATGGATGGATGTGTTTGTGTATACATGGGTTTATAGGGTACACAGATTGATACAAGCAGTGTTCCATGCCCACCTGCAAAGATCTGCAGTCATCGAGCCCAAGCTCCTGTTGGGAAATTATTCTTTCAGTTTAAAGCTCGCTCTTCCCTTGCCTTTCCCTCTTTCCAAACTCTTCCCCAGTTCCCAGGTCTTCGGTCTGAAAAGACAATCTGGTTAGAAAAGTTGCCCTCCACTCAAAGTTCACTGGGAAATAGATACTGCATGAACAGTGACACCCACACGGACGTTGAAAATACCACTTGGACGAATGAATATGTGCATGTGCGTGCATGTGTGTGTGTGTGTGTGTGCGTGTGTACAGTAGCAATTGCAAAAAAGGGACCATATTCCTTTCCATACTAAGATACAATGTGATAAGAAACATTTCTGTGCAGGGAATAGGGTTTCTTTGAATCTTATCACAACACTGTGGCGGGAAATTCAGGAAATGGGTTCACCTTTCAGCAGTCACCACGGTAAACTTCATTGAAAACGCACATGGCCAGACAAGTGGTCTGCGCACATGTGTGTGTTAACAGCTAGCCATTCAGCCAACAGGTAACAGAAAGACAGCAGATAGCAAAACACGTCAATAAGGTGCTCAAAGAAAAAAGTGGCACCCACTCCTCGAATGGATGGCCACATTAAGGTGCTTCAAAAAAGTTTTTTTTTTTTTTTTCAGTTTCTATTTCAAACATTAAGAGAGTACTGATCTGCACATGGTAGTTCTGAGCCAGGCCAAGGGTTTTGAGATTTCTGACATCTTCCACTGAAAAGGGCTTTCACTGTAGTTTTATTCAGTTTGTTGTGGGTCACTTGAGTCTAAAGAATTTTTTTAATGGCCAAAAACTGAAATCAAATCAACATAACTAAAAGAAATAACAGATGAAATGATATAGAACATTACTGCATTCCCATCGGATCAAGATGGTTGCGCCCATTTTTCCTCTTTTGCTAACACTGTTCCTTTTTTTTCTTTGTTACAATCCATTCCTTGTGAACATACAGAAGTAACCAAAATCACTGCAAGTGGCTGTTTTTATTTTTTGTGATCTGTTGCAAGAGTCCAACCTTGTTTCCTCTGCTGCTGTTCGTGTAGCATCTGTAATGAGCATCTGGATTTATAATGAGCATCTGATTTTGTTATGTGCACGTGTGTATATATGCACATATACACACCTATACATGTATAATATATACACTATATATATATGGATATATATAGGAAGTGTGTATACATTTATACATAATATAGTGTATATTGTTTCAACTGGAGATAAACTGAACTGGGTTCAGACACTAGCACGTGTTTATCTTTCCCCTGCTCCCTCTGGACATTTTAAACAGTCTGGAGCTTTTATTTATTTTTTAAAGTGCATTTTCAATGCAGAATAACTGTAATCCACTGATTCCTTGGAAAACATTTTTGATGAGAAAAATCTGACAGTTCTCAGCCCCAAGCAAGAGAAACCTGGGTTTGGTCGTGCCGGGGGCTGACGTGGCAGTGCCAGGCTTGTGCCTGAGTGATTGCTGGGCATTCTGGACCCCGGGCACCTAGCAGCAGCGGCAGCAGCACCTTTACGAGAAGGCGGAGGTCAAAGAGGAAGAAGGAAGGAAAGTTCAGATGAGGAAGGATGGGTTTTCGGTGTGTTTGCAGGTCGGAATTGTTCACTTTGTATGGGTTTGTGCAGTTCCTGCTTGGCTTCGGCTAAGAGATGCCATCTAGTCCCTTCCCTGCCAACTGACACCAACCTCCCAATGCCCCCCCCCCCCGCCCTGGGGCCCGCATGTTCGAGCATCACTCGAGCGTCCCCACTCCCCAGGCTGACTTCCGTGTCCGTTCCCTGTGGGTATGTGAGTGCCAGCATCAAGTAGGAATAAGGCACCAGAGAAATCAAAATGTTACAAAAAGATGCAAAACCCCGTTTCAAAGAGCCTCTCCCATTGCTCCATTAAAATATTGCATGTGATACCATTCATTTGTGTGTACTTAAAGTGTGTCAAATGCAGTCTCTGGAAGGAACTCAAGGCCCTTCAGCACCAGAGATCTATAGGAATGCACCCTTTATCGAAACACACCCACTCCCCCACCCCCAGGCCCACCCCACGCCACACTCAAAAGCACCAAATCCGGAGAACAAGGCTGCTTGCCATTGCTCACCTCATTTGTGATAAAAATGAGAGAAGTGTATGAGAGAGAATTGTCAGGAATTGCTCTAAAGTCAAATTAGAACCCTAGTCAAATTAGGGTTCAGGCTGTCATGTATCTGGTTAGGTAATGCTCTAAATGTCCAAAAAGCATCATGAAGGGGTTGACATGTCTGCGTTAATATTTAGGGGGAATGTGTTAAACAAAAATTACTTTGCAAATGATGCCCAAGTCCTCCACTAACACTTCAACCTCCCCTATTTTTTTAAGCACTGTAAAAAGGAAGAGGTTCATCTAGCTATAAAAGGAAAAAATGAAGGCACATGATTTTATTCGGTCCCACAATCCTTAAGAAAAATGGTATTTTGCAAGTGTGTGTGTGTGTGTGTGTGTGTGAAATGGGAGTCTGAGGGCCATTGGGGCAGTAGTCCAAGGGAAGTTGGAAAAGGAGAACAAGAGAGAATTTTGAGACAGAGAGAAGAAAGGAGAAAGGAGGAAATGGAGGCCTCTCTTCAGCTTTCTGTCATTGACAGTCTCAAGATTTGGCTGCTTTAGGGTCCAGAATGGAATTCGTTTGTCTTGGTCTAGAAAGTGCCCCCAGTTAAATATCTCCAGTTAATCATGTTACAGCTTTTGGTGTTTCCCTTTTCCCTTCCCTCCAGCCAAATGATTTAAAAAAATCACAGTTTTTAAAAATTATTTTTTCAATGTTGAAAAAATATGGAAAGCTATTGAACAGCCCTAGGGCACTCTGCCTCTCCGTCTTCACAGTGAGCAGATGGATGGACAATCCACAGAATCAAAGATGAGGCAGACAAGATCCCTTGTGCTAGATGGTCCCTTGCCCTACCTTCCCCATTTCTTTCAACTGGATCCTTCCTCCCCCGAGCCCGTCCACGGAATGTGGGCTGCTGAGAAAGGCAAAGCCATTCTGGAGAGCGATGGTAACAGACGGGTCTTAGAAGCGGAGGGCAGAGGTGTGGGCAGGCTCTCTCCTCCTCCGGCAGCAGAGCCGTGTGCCCTTCGAGCAGCCTGGCCACAAGCTAGGGAAGCCCAGGTGCCCGCTGAGAGGCTGAAGTCCCACTCACATCTACTTCATGAGACCTCAGCCCTTCTGCTTTTCTTTGCGTCACAGCTGGCCCCCAGTCCTGAAGAAGGCAATGATCCAAGACGGAGAGGCAGAGCCGACTGGCTGTGTCCTACAGAAAAGGGCTACGGACAATGGGATTTCAGAAACAAATTGAACTTTGGTTTTCTGACTTTTTCGAACCGTAAAAATTAAAGCAGGGCTTCAGGGGCGTGCATCATCTGACAGCTGTTCTATTTTTTTTCTCATTTGGCAAGGCTAAGGCGGGGGGGAAGAGAAAAGGGGTTTCCCATAATTGGTCGAAGACACAGGGTGGTAAAATGCTTCCACACTTAAACTCACAGTCCAGTGTTTTTGACGTTTCATAAATAGCTTTTTTTTCTCTAAAAAAAGAATAAAACAAGAACAATCCCTTTACTTACTCATCTGAAACAAAATAAACAGCAGTGGGTACAAACTTCTTCTTGTAACAATTACAAAAAACAACAATATAATCCCAACTTTTAACACGCATCTTGAATCAGTTATTTTTTTTTTTTTAACCTCAAAACTGCAGCATATCCTTAAGGGCAAACTTTTCGATTAGTTTTTTTCTTTTTTTTTTTTTAAATAATGTCTTCACCAAAAAAACAGTCTTGTACCAATAAAATGCATTCAAAAATAGAAAATATTACACAACAAAAATATGTATCCTTCCTTTCCAAAAAAGATTCTTCACAAAAAAATGTAGAAAAAATTCCAACAATTTTTTTCCTCTCCTAAACATTAACTTTCAGTCTAGGGCACAATTAGTTATTGATTTAAATGTCTGTTTTTGCATAAAACATGGAAAATGCAAAACAATGACTGTATTAGGATTGTGTAGTTACATCCACTCCCACCCCGACTCCAAAACAAGACAAAACCAGAAAAACCCAGCAAACATTAAACAAATGATACAGCCACTTGGCTAGGCAAATTATCTCTGTCTTTCCTCTCACGGTGCATTTGTATGAGTTAACTGGCTCTGTGTACTGGGAATGCTGAAGAACAGGGGTGGGCCTAGAGTCAAGAGGTTCTTTAGCACTGGCTGATGTTCTAACGAGTCACGGACGGCCTCCCGTGTTGTGGGCCCACTCGCTGAAATCCTCACGGAGAAAAGAAATACGTGAGGTAGTACATGGACAGAGGACCCAGACCTCGATACAAGCCAGTTTTTCAACCATAGCACATCTTTTCCACCCCCCCCCATCAAAATGGAGCCCAAGCATAGGATAAAAAGGTGATAGAGAGTTCCAGAAGTGCTGGGTTTATTTCCTCTAGAGTCATGCCTCTCCCACATTTAACCCCTTTGGCATTAGCTGGAACCATGGCAAGATCTCAGATCTCAAAGGAATGCCCCATTTCTCCCATCCCCACTGAGCCCACTGAGTGTCTTTTATATTTTCAGCAGTGTAACTTCTAGGACTTATCTTTCTTATTTGATGTTATTTCTCTTTTGTGTGTGATAGATTTTGTATGTGTATTCAGTAGGAATAGGTGGTTTTGCTTATAGCTTTTTTTTTTTTTCTGTTGCTTATCTGGTTGCTGGTTTTTTCTTTGTGGTTTTTGTTCTGTTTTGTTTTTGACTTTTTGAACAGTGAAATGTGTCCAATTTTATTTCCAGTGCATTAAACAAATTTTAAATTAAAAAAAGAAATAAAACTTTTCCCCCCATCCTTCTAAAGGAAATGACTGATAAAAGTACAATATAATAAAATCAGGCATCGCCAAAAATAGCATGATGTGCAACCTCGATTACATCAAAGAAAAACAGACAAACAAAAATTATTGAACATAAGCATGAAGGAGCCAAGACTATATAATCTCAACTATGGTATGATTGGCAAGCACTGGTTAAAAAATAGGTAAGGCTACTCTTAGATTTCTAACTCAACATAGTTAACCACTGCTCTTCTGTCTTTTCCTTCAACTCTTAATCTTTTACTCACTAGTTCTTTATATCTTTAGAATGAGCAAATTTGTTTTTATATTTTTGGTCTACAGTAGAATTACATATTAATAATATAATAAAAAGATATTTCATTAACAGGTTGGTGCTGCATCCATGTGGGGAAAATAGAAAAAAAGTACTCAAATAGACATAGCAAATGGACTCTATTCTTATAAAAATAACCACAAATATAATAGAAATTATAATCAGGGCAACAGATTCAACAGAAAAACAGGAGTAGAAAGCTATATTTTGGATAATACAAACTCTTGACAAGCTATGCCCTAGAATTGCAGCCTCTAAACCTTTTCTGTGATTTCCACCTTCCCATAGGATCACTCAGAATTCAAATGGAAATGAAAACAAAATGAAAATAAAGTGACAGGTGGTTGAGCCAGCCAAAGCTTCTGAGTTATCTTAGTTGACTGGGTCAAGACCAGGTGGACAGCATTCGAGAAACTGGTAGGCCACAGGGGAGCCGCTGATGCTATCTGTTTTTGATTTTGGAAGAGTTTCCAGCCCACTGATAAAAAGAAAAACCAAGGAACCAAATAATTCTTCTGGTAACATAAATACATGAGATGAAATATAATTCTGACAGAGGCGACGGGGGGCGGGGCGGGTGAGGTGGGAAAGAGGAGAGAGGGGAAACAGGCAAACTGTGGGCACCACCTTCCTTGTTTTTCTTCAACACGTGGGTTTCCTTCTCTTTCTAAGCATTTGTTAGGATCAACTGCAGGCTCCAATGTCCTCTGGGCAAATAAGTGTCAGCTGAACTCACCATAGGATATCTCTGCTTTTCAGCCTTCCTAAGGGCTAGTGGCTCTGGAGGAGCCTCACTGCCCCCCCCGCGCCCCCACTGCCTCATGCCCTTGATGACGCGGAGGAGGGGGTGCAAAGTTGTAATGACAGATGGCCTTTACATTAGCCATTCCTACCTGATGGTTAATTCACACTGAAGATTCAGTGTGGGGAAAAAAAAATCTGAAGGAAAAGAGTTGAGCTTGGTAATCAGCAAGTATGAAGTTTCCTTCCAGAGAAACGAAGAAGAAGGAGAAGAACAAGAATAAGGAGAAGAAAAAGAAGAGGCATCAGTTAGAAAATACTGCTTTTGGTTTCTTTTAACATTGAACCATCCTTGGTTTTTCTCTCATTCAGTTGCTCCAGTTAAGTAGAGTTCAGAATCTAGTGCAAATATCATCAAATCACATCATCCCAGGAGCAATATCCTGTCCCTTCATCCTAAGTGAATACTATCCCTTCAGACCTCCTCAGAAGCCTGGGGGGTAATGGTCCAGAAAAGCCTAACTGAACAAATTATTAATCGAGTACTCGCTATAAGAAAGGCACTATCACAACAGGTCAGCCTCAGCACTGTCCTCGCCATGCGCATGGGCATTTTAACCACTCCGGTAACCACAGTGAAACCCAGATCGTGGCTTTTTCAATACTCGAATTCGCTTGCCAGTTGTCTGACTCTCTCTCTGGCCATTGCTGTGGGCTCTGGCCATGAAGAGCAGCGATCCGCTCTGTTGTCTATGCTGCCCCCCATTTCACCAACAATCCTTGTTTGGTTCTATGTGATTTAGCTCACTCTCTTCCATGGAAGTTTCTTTCTCTCCATCAGTCTTCAGGTCATGACTCTATTAAAGACCAGTTTACAGTGTCAAGGTATTACTGTT